TTACGGGAAAGGTATGTTAGTATTAGTGATTTAAGAAGAGGAAGGGAATTAGTAGTTGATATTATGTGGTAAAGGGAATTGAAGTCCGAGCAAAGTACCCTAAATGGTTCGTGCAAGGAATAATTCGATCTACAAAGCGGAAGGAAAAGAGGAATGAAGTTTCTAGTAGATCTAATAGGAATCGTAAAGTTTATGCGGCTCAACAAGTCAGGGCTATCTACATCACCCTTGATCAGGTTGTGCATAAAAATCACACCAAGCATTTTTCTACGACTAACTAAGGTTGGAAGGTTTATTAAAAGCAATCTACGAGGATAAGATGGCAGTCTCACACCTGCATCCCAGTTAAGGCCACGCAGAGCAAAAAGTAAAAAGTTTTTCTGGACTGATTCTATACGGTCCTGGTGTACTTTGTACTGGGGGCACCATACACAAGAGCCGTATTCTAAAATCGGACGAACAAGCGAGATATAGAGAGTCTTCGTTATATAGGGGTCGTCAAATTCCTTTGACCACCTCTTTATAAACCCAAGCACACCCATGGCCTTATTTACCATGGTAGAAATGTGTTCAGAAAACTTCAACTTTGGGTCTAATTTAACACCAAGATCATCAACCAAGGTAATTCTCTCAAGAGAACCACCGCAGAGGCTATAAGGAGCCAATAGGGGGCTGGAGCGATGAAATGTCATTACTTTGCATTTCGAGGCATTTAGGTGTAACATATTTGCACAACACCATGATTGAAAGTTATTGAGATCGGATTGCAAGCGAGAGTGAAATGAAATGTCCTTATACTGGACACAAAGTTTAACATCATCCGCATACATGAGTACTCGAGAGTTTGTTAATACTGAAGGCAGATCATTAATAAAGAGTGTGAATAGTAGGGGGCCTAGATGGCTGCCCTGTGGTACTCCAGAAGTAACCTTAACAGGTGAAGAGAAGGAGTTTTTGAAGAGGACTCTTTGAGACCTAGAACAAAGGTAGCTAGAAATCCATCTCAAGAGATTAGGCGGAAACCCTAAAAGGTCAAGTTTTTGTGCTAAAAGGGAATGGTTTACAGAATCAAATGCTTTACTAAAATCAGTGTAAATGACATCCGTCTGCAAGTTACCTTGAAAGCCTTTAATGATAAAAGAGGTAAACTCTAATAAATTTGTGGTTGTTGATCGTCGCCTTATAAATCCGTGCTGGGACGGAGATATAAGTGATTTGCAGAGATGTTGCAAGTGCGGAGTTAAAATTTTTTCAAACATTTTAGGAATAGCGGATAACTTAGATATACCCCTATAATTATTTGCATCAGACTTGCTACCTTTCTTATGGAGCGGAATAATAAAAGATTCCTTCCAGATGGGGGGAAGCATGAAGAGTTAATAGATAGGGTGAATAGTTTAAGCAAGGGTCCACACAGAGCGTCGGAACAGTACCTGAGTACACAGCCGGGAACTCCGTCGGGACCTGGTGAAAACACCGGCTTAACTAGTCGAAGATCATGAAGCAGTGAGCTTTCATTTAACAAGGGGCTGAAGATGCCATTCGACCTTGGTAAACTGTATGGATACGGCTGACCAGAGTAGCTTTCATGAGAATAGGTTGTTTGGAAAAATTTGGCAAAAAGATCGGCAATTGCCTGATCATTGTTTGCTGACATATTGAGAAAAGATAACGAGGATGGATGTACGGACGTTCTACGCTTACTATTTACGAAGCTGTAAAACTGTTTAGGGTCCTGTGAAAATCGTATCCTGCATCGAGATAGGTAGTTCTTATAGCATTGAGCGTTAAGAACGGAGAAATTTGACCGAGCTATTACATAGTGAGAAAGAGAAGAGGGAGAACCAACTTCTCGAAATTTTTTATAAAGTCTTGATTTTAAATTTTTTAGACTGGATAACTCCTTGGTAAACCAAGGAGGTTTTCCAGATCTAACCGGACAAGAAAGTGGGACACAAGAATCAAAAAATGTGTCAAGTACATTGTAAAAAATGTGTGTGCCTTTCATAACGTCAGTGCACAAGTACAGAGCGGACCAATCAAAATCCCTAATAAGGTTATTAAGCTTCGTAAACTCGGCTTTACGAAAGCAGCGGACACGTTCGGATAGCCTACTCATTCGATCCAATACAGTAGGGCCAATATCGACTGACACTTCGAATGTAGGATGGTAGGAGTCTTCAGGTATACTGAGCGGAAGGGCTCGGGTTAACAACGCTATGGTCGGATCCGAGACAAAGCACAGATCAAGCAATCGACCCAAGGAATTTTTCACATGGTTGACTTGAGACAGGGATAGGTCTAGCAAGCCGTCGATAAAGTCATGTCGTGACATGGGCACAAGGTTATTAGACTCGTTTACCGAAGACCAAACAGCACCTGGCAAATTAAAATCACCAAGAACTATCATATGGTCTTTATCTGATAGCGAGGAAGAAACAGTTTTTAAAGCGGTCAGGTGATGCTCGTATGTTAAGATATCCGAGGAAGGTGGAATATACGAGCAAGTAATGAAAATGGAAAAGCCTGGGAGAATCAGTTTTACGCACAGGAATTCCAGGTCTTGTTGAACCTGGACCATGAAATGTTCCGACGTGAAATTTGAGTCCACTGCAATAAGGACCCCACCTCCACGTCGAGACGAACGGTCATTTCTAAAAATTGTGTACCGACCTGCCAAAACTTCGGAACTAAGGATGTCCGGCTTTAACCAGGTCTCGGTGAACACAATAACGTGGGATGAGAATGCGAGACTCTCAAGGAAAAGAGTGCTGAGCTTACTACGCAAGCCTCTAGCATTCTGGTAGGTAACTACAAGAGAGGAAGTTAGTTTTTTGGATGGGTGGAAGTAGAGGTGGAAGATGAGGATAGAGATGGAGCACTGGTCTGAATGCTAGGAAGAGTAATGGGGGCCTATTCTTTTTCTTAGCCTTAAACTCTTTAACCACCAAATGCTCTGGCCAAAACTTGGCGGAACAAGATATCTCCCTGGCGTAAGAAAAGTTAAATTTTTCTACCTTTAAGCCGACGGCTTTTATTTTGCTTTGTATAAAAGCGGTCCTCTTGGGTGGGTCGGGGCTAGCCCGGATCCTTGGTGGGCCCCCCGGTGGCACCACAGGCCTAGTACCTGTGTGGCGTATCGGGGTCCTCTCATTAGCTGTGGGGAACTGGGGGTAGTGGGTTGGTGCGGCTCCGCCGGACTCAGACATTCTAACATACTCTCAAGTGACGCATTCGGCTCCCGAATCTGCATCACCAGCAGCGATCGTTGCCCTTGGAGTAGCAAACGTAATCAACTGCTGCACTAAGGGAGTGGTCGGAGTAAGTTTTTCGGATGCCGGCGGACATGAGGCAGTCGGCACTTGCAAGTCCCGCGGAGTAGACTTCTTGCGCCTCGGAGACTCAGCCAGCAGCTGTAAACTGCTGAACTGAGTGTTCATGGCCAAGAGCCGATCGTACTGCTGTTTAAAGCCCACGATCAGCTCTTTGAAGCCACTCCGCGTCTGCCTCATGAACGAACGCATGTCGTTTTCCACAGCACGGCATTCCTCACAACTATAATGTAGGCCGTTGTTTTGGGAAATGGCGTCTCCTACACGGCCCGAGATCCCTACACATTTTGCGTGCACTACGCTTTCGCAAAGCCAGCAGGGGATATTGGGCTGGTCATGGGTGATCTGCTTCTTGCAGGTTTTTTTGGCACAGACGACAGAAAATTCCATATTTATGTCTTTTATTTTTTTTTTACTTCGGGAAAAAAAAAGTTCAAAACAAATAGCAATCAGACCACTGTGCAGAGCAAATGCTTAGAGCAATGCTTAAAGCGAAATCGGAAAAAAAGGAGAGGAGAGTGGTTGCAGCAACAGCTTATAAGTGAGAGCGTTACTGCACAAAAGGTTACAAGAGCGAGAGCGAAAGAACAGTTATTGAGAGTTAGGTGATAGAGAGAGTGATAGAAGGCAATAAATACGACAAAGAGCGGCTAAATGTAATGAGAGGGCGTACTTACGAAAAGCAACAACACAAACACACGACTAACCGACGCACAAAATTTATTAAATAAGTTGTGTTTTTACACAATTAACAGGCATGCACCCGCGGTAAAAGAATGATTTTAATGTATGTTAGTAAGAGAGTTAAATTATAGATAAAAAACACCGGCTGTTTAAGTTAAACAAAAGGAAAATGCGGAGCGCAAAACAAAAACACGTCTGGTCACTACGAAAGAGAACGAACGATCTTGCGTTGTTGTTTGCTGGAGGGGGCAGGGGAAGCAACTGAAAATGAATTTCTTCATTCTGGCTATAATTATGATCCGATCTGATTCAGATTCGGCAATCTGGCAATCATTCTATGATACTGCGTTTTCAGTTTTATCGTATCATTAAAATTGTGCATGCCACAGATTTTCGTCCTTTGTGTGGGCGGAAGGAGGCGGGGCAAAAACACTTGTGGCAGTGTGATATCACATGAGTCTGGAAACCAAATTTGGTTGCCCTAACTCTTATAGTCTCTGATATCTAGGCGCTCAACAAGACGGACAGACGGACGGACGGACGGACAGACTGACATGGCTATATCGACTCGGCTATTGATGCTGATCAAGAATATATATACTTTATGGGGTCGGAAACGTTTCCTTCTCTGCGTTGCACACATTCACTTTTACCACAAATACAATATACCCCTTAACTCTTCGAGTACTGGTATAATTACACATTTTTGAGCTTCACGTCTGTCAGAAAAAGTTTGGTGCCAGATTTGTATGGGATATTTCATAGTTATTTAGTCCTACAGTTATTTTTATTTATAAATACAATGGCATGAGATTACTAGAAGTAAATTCTAAAGGTTTTGGCATGGCGGCACGTGGTGGCCTACGCTACTGCCTGGGATCTGTGCGTATCAATCATCTGCTTTGTGTTGCTTGTATGAATGTGCTAACTTTTCTCCTCAAAGTTCTAAAAAACCAAGAAAACAGAAAGAAATAATGCAATATATTTTCAGAGTTTGTAGATTATTTATTAAAAAATTGTTTGGCAAATCGTTTTATCATTTAAAGGTCGATGACTCCAGTGGAATAAACACCGTCCTTATCACAAACCGTCCGAGCTATAACTGACATTTTCTCTGTCAAAATTTGATGATGGCTTGAAGTAGCAGATTTTAGGCTCTTCATCACTCGCTCAGAGGCCTGAAAAATAAAACAACAAGAAAAAAATGTTAGTTATACTGAGCTACCAATGTTCACAATGTTCTCACTTATAACGAGAAGGAATGTGTGAGTCGCTTCTGGGGACGCGACTCTACTTATACCCTTCCTCAGTCAGTATATACATTTTTGAGCTTATGATTTTTCTTCACCGCCAGCGGGCGCTCGCGTACATAACGAGGCAGTGTGTGCGAGCGAGAAAGAGAATGAGTAGCGGGTCTCTTGCTGTAGAACGCGGGGAAAGCAACTGAAAATTAATTTCTTCATTCTGACTATAATTATTATCCGATCTGATTCAGATACGGCAATCTGGTAGATATGGTCATTCTCACACCGATTTTTCAGCGGAATCAAAATCGCTCACAATTTATCCAGCGATTTGATTAAATACACCCAAAACGATTCGAATCTTACTTTCCCATAATGGTTGTTCAATTGGTGATTAACCCTTTTCCAAATAATTTAACATTATACATGTTAAGTTAATAAAATAAGCATTTTAGTAAATCATTATCCAATCTGCTGACTGACGCTGGCCCATCACACATTTCTACCCAGTATTGCCATTGCAAGTATGTCAAAAACACCTGTTCGGCTAAGTGCAGACCCATGGCAGCACAAAGAGAATCATCATTATACCAAAAACTGTGAATTGTAATGAACTAAATTAGCAGTAGTTTGAGAAGACAATCACAAAAACCACATACGTATCGTCTGAACGTGAAAACGAGTCCGATGCGCATCTGAGAAGCCTGCGCTCCAAGGTTTGTACTCTAATATGTTGCCTCCGTAGTTCTTCGATGGTCAACAGTCTCGCTAAAAGCATGTTTTTTAAGTTTAACTAAAATCAAGTTTGTTTGTTTTGAACAGCTGATTCTGCCAGGCACGGAGAGTTGCAAGAAAACTGCTAGAGTTGTCGAGTAATTTATTTTGTTTGGCGCGCAAGAAATTGGATGTTTTTTTTGCTTTAAAATTTAAAAGTACAGCTTTGAAAAATCAGTTATTTTATATCATAAAAGAAAAACATATGATAAAATCAATAAAATTTCAAAATGAACCCTTTTCGAATTAAATCTTGAAAGGTGTCAACAGTGGCCTTAGTTCGAATTTGGTTTGTGACACGACGTGGAAATTTTTAAGCGGAAATCCTCTGCGCGGTTTCCCATTTCACTAGTGATTTCTGTGGCACCCCTGATAGAGTCACTTTTAAGCTTGGTTTTTATCTACTTTTTATGCCAATACACGCGACCACAGCTCGGAAAATCACGATTTAAGTATTGTTGTATGAAGTAGGATTTTCCAGGGCTGTCAACGTTAGTATTTTTTTCAATCACAGAATGAAAAAGCCTTAGCTCTCGCTTCGTCTGAAATAGTTTCGAAAATGCTACCAGATTGATGAATGGCTGATATGCGCTCATATTACTACTAAATATGCAATTTTTGAGACCCCCACGTGTAATATTTGTAAACTCGATCTACACCAGCGAACGAAATAAATGCCTGCCTGAATGTATGTACGTCGGACATACGTTACAGTTTAATACAAATTTGCGTGTCCAGATATAGAATGAGCAAATCGGTCGAGATCTTCTCACGACAGTTACTGGACAATGGGAAAGGAAAGTTAGCGGTGGAGCAGACATCCGGACGAATTTCTGTGTCGGAGCATTTCTGTAACTTAGTAACATCGAGGAAAGAATTGATCGAAAGTGTATTTCCTAATATTCAAACAATTTAAAAGAATCACGATTGGCTGTGCGAACGAGCTATCTTGCCGCCAAGAATAAAGATGTCTACATACACAACAATGTGATTCAGTCTAGTATTCAGAACGAGGATGTAACCTATAATTCGATTAGCACCGTCTAGGAATCAGATGAAGCGGTTAATTATCCAACGAAATTTATGAATTCGCTTGATTTTCCAGGGATGCCACCGCACATATGAAAATTAAAAGCCAGTATTCATTCCAATAGCCAAAACTTTGTAACGGAACGCGATGTAGTGAAAGCAAAGATGTTATCATTCCTTGAATTCCCATGATTCGAACGGCATTGCAATTCGATTGACGTTCGAATTCACAATTACTGAGCCTTGTGGCTCAGGCGTCTTTGGAGTTTTGTGGTTTAGTTTTATACAATTATTGCATTTTACATGGACAACTTTATGTTACGTGTTCCCGTGTCGGTAAACAAGATAGTCTCTATATCAACGCAGAAGATAGAAAAATAAAAAATAAATATATACATACATCAAGATTAAACTTTATCCTGAAATTAGCCATGAAACGGGAATCTTCCACAGCAGAACGTGGCGGAGTACTGCAAGTATTATATATTTTACATTGTTTTGAAACATCTGTCATCTAGATATACAATGTAGATTCTACATCTATATACATCTAGATGTAATGCATCTACAATGTAGATTCTTCACCTCCTCCGCCAGTGGTCGCGGCAGAGTGTGAGAGCGAGAAAACGTATGAGTAGGGCCGCACCGCTGGAGTGGCTGGGGTTAGCAACTGAAAATTAATTTCTTCATTCTGTCTTTTCTCGTAGTTTCTCGTAAAAAACGGACGGACGGACAGACAGACAGACATGGCTTTATCGGCTCGGCTATTGATGCTAATCAAGAAGATAAGAAGAATGTAATCGGAGCCAATGAGTTTCGTTTATCACCTTTCCAAGTAGCGTTTCAAGCAACGTTTCAAGCGGTAAAATGTAATTCTCGGAGGTTGGTCAACCAATTTTAGCTCAGCCGTTGCTATATAGATTTTAATAAACAATACTTTAAACGACGCCTAATTAATGCACCTATACACAAAAAATATAAGGACACAGGATATAATTTGAATACTTAATACTTAAGTTATGTGAAAAAAGAAGCGCTACCTCTGGAAAAAACGATTAAGAAAATACCATTTCTTTAAAATTCTTAAAAAAACTTCGGCTATAGAAAAAAAAATTCACACAACATGTTTACAGCCCCAAATCTATCAAAAAAGTTGGTTTGGCTCGAAGTGGAAAAATGTTGTCGGGTGGTATAATCGAGAACCAAGACCAGCAAAAACGAGAAGGAACGTGCGAGTCGCTTCTGGGGACGCGACTCTACTTATACCCGTACTCAGTCAGCATATACATTTTTAAGCCTATGTTTTTTCGAATTTTATAATTAAAAAAAAATTTTACATTTTACATTTGTTTGCTACATCTCTATCTACATTCATATATTATGTATATTCTACATCTAACATAGATTATACATGTACCATTTAGATTCTACATCTCCCCGCGGGGTTGCTCGCGCACTGAACGCGGCAGAGTGTGCGAGCGAGAAGGAAAATGAGTTGCGTTGTCGTTGGCAGGAGTGGGCAGGGGAAGCGACTGAAAATCAATTTCTTCATTCTGGCTATAATTATGATCCGATCTGATTCAGATTCGGCAGTCTGGTAGATATGGAGATTCTCTACGATAGTTTTTTAGTTTTTAGTTTTATCGTATCTTTAAAAAAGTGCCTGCCACAGATTTTCGTTCTTTGTAGGGGCGGAAAGAGGCGGGGCGAAATTTTGAAATACACTTGTAGCAGTGGGATATCACATGAGTCTGAAAACCAAATTTGGGTGCCCTAGCTTTTATAGTTTCTGAGATCTAGGCGCTCATCGGGACGGACAGACAGACAGACAGACAGACAGACGGACAGACAGACATGGCTATATCGACTCGGCTATTGATGCTGATCAAGAATATATATACTTTATGGGGTCGGAAACGTTTCCTTCTCTGCGTTATACACATCCACTTTTACCACAAATCTAATATACCCCTTAACTCCTTTTTGAGTACGGGTATAAAAAAACCATCAATAACATAACTATAAGAATCTGAATTAAATAATAAAAGTACGTCCAAATTTAAGAACTAAAACCCACCCCCCTGCGTCATAAAGTTACAACGATTATTTGCTTCTCCAACATTTCCGCCGACTCAAAACGGACACCCCCACTCAAAGTTTCAGCGAATCTACAAATTTCTTGTAGAAGAATCCTGGACGGACTGAGCGTACCTCAGTCTTAGATAGGTTCTCACATTGTTGCTCGTCGCCTTATAAATCCGTGTTGAGCTGGAGGTATAGGTAAGTTGCAGAGATCTTGCAAATGCGGAGTTAACAATTTCAATTTTTCAACCGTCAACGACTTCAGACTATTTTTGTATCGACTCGCCGTGAAAAACAATTAATCGCAATTAATTGTAAATTAATTCGCGAAAAAGCGCTCGGGGTATGCATGGGTAACTAGTGCTCGTGCTACCCATGAATATCATCCAATCGTGTAATAAAGAATAATATAAGAAACAAAACAAACGAAAAGGAACGTGCGAGTCGCTTCTGGGGACGCGACTCTACTTATACCCGTACTCAGTCAGCATATACATTTTTGAGCATATGATTTTTTAGAATTTTAAAAAAAAAAAAAAAATTTTACAATTTCCATTTTTTTGCTACATTTGTTATCTACATCTACATATGGCCGGCGAAAATCCTCCAGCTGAACCCGCCCCGAGGGTGCCCGCCGGGCAATGGGCACTGCATTATCCTGGATCGGGTTATGCACTGTCGCTTGCTCTGTCCGGGGTAATGCAGTGTCTAGCCAAGGCCGGGTCCAGGTCCTCCCGACCAAAAATTGGGGGAACTGAACCATGGCCATGGCTGTAGGTGCCTGGCGGGTAGGCATAAAACGCTAGGGGGTGGTTCTCCCGATAAACATCAACTACGTATGGACTTTCGGGCCTAGTATGGAGCGGACAGACAGTCAAACACGGGTTGAGATGTCAACCCAAACGTCGGTGGAAAGCGTGACTGCTACCACCGGCGGGCACGGGGAGGAGCAATCCTCTCTGCGTGTCGCCAGCGGTCACACCTCTGATATGGCGGGAGCAGGTCCTGTCAGTTGCAATGCTACTGCCACAAAACGGACTCACTCCAAG